TAAAATAAGGGACTAAGTCAGATAAAAAAAATGGATAAAAGAGCTAAAAAGTTGTTATTTCAACCAAAAAAAAAACACAAAAATTCCTCAGATTTGATTAAAAAAATGTCAAAATGGATGAAACAATAATTGAGTAAGGGCAAGAAAGTAATTTTAGAACCCAAGGGAGCTATTCCAGCAATCAAATTACATTAAACAAGCCAGAATCAAGTATTTTGAAAAAAGAGGTAAAAAGTTGTAAAAAAAATTTATCAAATGAACTTCAAAAAATTCAAAATTTTTCTGGGAATTAAAAACCCCTAGTTGTTCATGCTATTTTTTTTTCCCTGATTTCTTTTAGGGTTCAACAAAAAAGTGGACAAAACTATGAGAGGAATAAAGTAGACTTACATCGCTAAAAAATAAGAAGATGAAGAAAAAAAATCAACTTACGGATCGAGCTTTGATACCACGTTAGACTATGAAAGATAGAGAAGAAGAAAGCAAAGAGAAAGTGAATATATTTATGACAATAGTGAGAGCTACTGAGAGAATTAGGTTATCTCCCTTAACCTTATGTATTTATAATAAGACTCAAAGTAAATCAATACCCCTCATAGACATCTCTTAACATTTATGACAATAGTGAGAGCTAATGAGAGAATTATGTTATCTCCCTTAACCTCATGTATTTATAATAAGACTCAAAGTAAATCAATACCCCTCGTAGACATCTCTTAACAATTTCGAACTCAATTTAGAAATTCATTTACCTGAAAAGGAAATCACCTCAAGGTAATAAGCCACCTTTTTGGTAAATCTCATAAATAACCCTTGAACTATAATTTTTATTTTAAATTTTTCTCTAAACTTTAAATTGTTAAATTTTGTTTCTTATAGTTTGTTTAGTAAGATGAAAAGTTGGGAGAATATAAAGTTAGAAAAATAGATAAAACATTACCTTTGATAAAGAAGAAAGTAGGAAGAATGAACAAATGGATGAATTAACTTTTCTTTCTACTCACCAAAATCTATCCCTCTACAATTAAGAGAAAAAATAGATAAAAAGTTATATCTTTTAATGTATGCATGTCTTAATTCAAAGGAGGAAAATAACTATTCCTCTCCTGAATGATAGAAAGTGTACTACTTATTTCCCATTTTTTATTTTTCCATCTATCTTACCTAACACACTATTAAACTACATAATTTATTTCAATTAATCCCACTTATTAATGGAATTTGTCTTATTTAATGATTAATCTTAGTAAAATCTATCTTATTGGTTGATTAATCTTAATGAAGGGATTGGTTAAAATTACATAGTTCAAGGGGAAAATTGGAACAATGAAAATTTAGGGGCAATTTAAATCAAAAACCATAGTTTAGGGGTATTTATGAGATTTACCCTTTTATTTCCCCTGACTTCTCATGCCATGTCGATTGTCTACCACTCGCTACATTATCGCGTTGGGGTACACTAATATGTTTCCTTTCACCATACAATTACTAGGATGAAGACTTTCCTCATTAGTCACTACCCTCGCCCGCAGAGCTCATCGAGATCTGCTCTCTCTCTGACCTTCTTAACTACCCTCGCTCGCAGAGCTTATAGAGATCTGCTCTCTCTTTTCTCAGTCTCTTTCTCTCCCTCTCTGATGTGTGTTTGTGTGTGAAACGGAGAAGATGAAGGTGTGGTACGTCGTCGTATTGTTTGTGCTTTGCAGTGTGATAGAGGTGAGATCGGATGCGTCGGATCACAGGTATAAACCTGGAGATCAGGTCCCTCTCTATGCTAACAAGGTTGGACCTTTCCACAACCCTAGGTGACAGATCTCTCTCTTTCTTTTTCAGCACCGATCAATTGTTGATATTTTCCAAGTTATTTTTCTGATATTTAGTGTCTACAGCTGGAGGTGGAATTCGAGCCTTGGGAATGGAATTTGGGGAAAAAAATTGGAATTCGAATTGAATTGTTGTCAATTCCATTTCCTGTGTGCCAGTTCCATAATCCAAAAAATCAGTAAATCATAATTTATGGTATGCTCAAGTAAGATCGTGAATCCATATACGTATATATGTTCGACATGTGTAACGTACGCTTTGACATTGTATATATCTCTACAGACTATGGAAACTTTTGAATGATGCGTAAAGGAGTGAGTAAATAGATCATGACTAGTACGCATCAGATGATAGGTCTCACTTATTTGTAGCGCCAGCATGACTTTTGTAATCTAGAATCATTTTTTTCCTCTCTATTTTACTTTGTGACAACGTGGGAACCCTGTTCTATTTTTGTGGAAAAAATGAGTTCATGCCTTGACGGTCTATATGAAATGACAGTTTTGTTGATGCATTCCATTGTTTTTTTTTGATGACAAGTTTTAAATCTTAATGCAAGCCTTTCGAGTGTCTATTCTTGAGAGAGGTTGGGCAGGCTTATAATTCTCAAATTTATGTCTCCAACGCTACTCTCCCGGCAAGTATCACTTTTTCGATTGGGATTTTTTTTGGCAAGTTCGTAAAATAGAGAATTAATAAATATAAATTTTACCTTTCCAACTCAATCTCCATTCCTATTCTTCTTTCAACGAATAAATTGATAGTCTCAGATAAGTCCTAATCTGCTAAAAACAAAATAGCCCACTATCTCCATACTCAAAAGCGAAGAAATTCTTCGATCTCCTACCTGAGAAAGCATTATTCGAAAAGTTGAAGCCAATCCAACATGATAGATTGGTCACACTTGTACTTATACACTTTTCATTCTATGACAACTACAAATCGTGTTATTTTAAGACACGAATAATATTAAAATTAGGCTTCACAACTAGATGGATAATGATTTTCTCGTAGACCTTTTGATTGGGTACATAGAAAAGGCAATTTTGCTAAAAAAAAAAAATTAAAACATGTGCAATCAAAGATAAATTATGTGATAAAAAAGAATGCGAGCACAACTTAGCTAGACAATTGAGCAGATACGCATTAGAAAACTTTTACTCTTGTTAATTTTCTTCTTTTGTCACATTGTTGTTTATATTGAATACATTATTTTGTTAGATATTCTTTTATGCATCGGAAATTTGAATTCTAGAAATATATATACAGGACATATTGTTGTTTGATTTTTTGTTCATAAGAATTCCCAACCCCCCCCCCCCTCCAAAAAAAAAAACCCCAAAACTATAATAGGATTGTCCTGTATGCACATAGAATGTCTTGAATAGGGATGTCAGTGGACCAAAGCGGGGCTGGGAGTGTAGTCTCCATCCCTGTACCCACTTAAAAAAATTCTGTCCATCTGCTGTTCACCCCCGTTAATGGGTATAATTTTCATCCCTGTCCCCGTCCACGGGTAAATTTTTATAATCTCTGTCCCCGTACCCGCCCCCGCCCAAGTCTAAGTCCATGTTCAAGTCAACATAATCCAAAATTCTAAATAAATCCAACATTTTAAATAATCCAACAACATTCTAAATAATCTAACATGACATAATGTAGTATAACATATTCAAACATAACACAAACAACAAATGTTCAAAATACTACTTCAATTTAATATAATTCTACATAACACAAACAACTTAATGGTGGTAGAATCAACTCAATCATCGCTTAACACCAACTCAATCATCTCTTAACACTAGCTTCACACCAACTCAATCATCTCTTAACAACATCAGTGGTGGTAGAATCTACTTCTTTGACATCATTTTTCTATATCATTAAAAACAAATAATTAGATTCTTCCAAAGAGAAATTTACAACTAAAATGATATACCTCATCATCAATATCAAGATCCTCCAATAATTTGTAGCTCTTCAGGCAGTTGAAGTAGATGAACCTAACAAAAAAAAAAAATAATGCATTAGTCATATTGTACCACCCAAAATAATTATGATGCACATACAAATAATATTTTATTATCTCGTTCTTCAACACATAACCAACTTTGAGAGCACATTAAAGCCTCTATTGTAGTTGGAAGAAGTCTATTACGATGTGGACTGATCACCCTCCCACATGTGCTAAAAGCTGATTCCAAGGCAACGGTAGTAACGGGAATAGCAAAAAGATCTTTAGCAATCATTTGGAGTAGGGGATACTTGAGATCACTTGTCTTCCAAAAAGGCAGTATATCAAAATCTGAAGTTCTTGGCATCATACCATCTTTTAAGTAACGATCCAACTCAGACCTCCCACGTGCTTTTGTTATGTCTCTTGTTTGTATAAACTTATCAAAATCAGAGAGATCATCAATTAATGGACAGTTAAAATCAATATCTGATTGCAGAGGGGGAGGAGAAGGCTGCGGTTCATAATCACTTCCTTGTCTCGTTTCATATTCGCCAACCAATTCCAAGTAAAGCTCCTTAATCCTCGTCACTTCATTTAAAGTTTCCACACCTCCATATATTTTCTTATAGTAATACTCCAAAATTCTCAACTTATACGTGGATCTAAAACAGTGGCTATTCCCATAATACCATGAATTACACTTCAATATTTGTTAAACTTTTCCAACATATTCAAGGCCATATCTTTTATCACGTCTTTAGGATTTTGAAGCCACTTAGATATTTCTACTCTTATCCAACAAATAGTTGGAAAGTATACATTGACAGTAGGATATTTTGTACTTGAAAACAATTTAGTTGTAAAATGAGGCGGTCAGCTGTGAGGAGCAAGACACGGAGAAAGACACGGAGAGAGAGATGAATGGAGGCGGTCGGCTGTGACTTGTAAGGAGCTGCTACTGAGTGCAGCGATCAGCGATACCGATGGGTGTGGGTGTCTGTTTCACTCTGTGTGTGTGAGAGAGAGAGATGGAGGCAGCGGCTGAAGGCTGATAGATGAAGAGATGAGTAAATTAGGGCTTTAAGCCTTTAAGGCTTTAACTGTGACCGAGAGTATTTATATATATATATATATATATTTTTAACTGGTAAAACGGGGAGGGGACAGGACGGGGCGGGGGCGGGACGGGGGTAAGAGTAAGTCCATCCCCGCCTTCATCTCCGCACGTGTTTACACGGGTATCCCCGTATACGTCCACAGTCCAATACGTATAGTTCATCCCCAATCTAAATGGTATGGGTTTGAACGAATACCCGTTTTTCCCGGTCCACTGACATCCCTAGTCTTGAGGTGTTTTTAGATGCAAGAGTGGTTTTCTTTCAAGGTTTGGGGAGTCAATTGAGAAATAATGTTATTAGATTGAATTAGTAAATAATTTGCTGGAATTTTTCACGTAAATGAGTAATGCAATGAATTTTAAGTCAAATTATTGTCTCGTGTACTGCTGTCCTTTCTTCAATTGTCACCCTGACTGTTTTTTTCATTAACATTTTTTTCCCTGTAATACACTAATACTACAGAAGAAAGGAGAAATACATGTTTTGGATCTCTTGATTTAGTGTTTCAAAGCAAAAGTTCAAAATCTTTTGAATGTTTGTGCCAAATCACAAGTCGGTTTTTTTTTTTTTGTTTATCAGGGTTTTATGTAAAATTTCATATCTAGTTATACTAGATTTAATGGTGGTTGTTTTATGGTACTACTGGGAATTAACAAAGGTCATTCTATTGAATCCTTGGAATTGGAACTGAAGCCAACAGAAAAGCCAAATACAGTCTTTTCAGTAAGCAAGAAACCTCGACTCCAGAAACAGTTTTTTATTTTATATGGTTTTTTGAGTTAGTTACCACTTACCGATCTCATACCCACCTCCTGAGACAGTCTTTGCCATATTGGTACTGGTGTCTATTGCTGTGAAGATTAGTCAGTCATCTTTTATTTCTTTCCACATGATAAATATATAGGGTGAGATAGGAGCTCCAAGTTTCCTTTACACGATGGGTCTCACTGATTTTGCATGGACATGGGACATAGACATGATACAACACATTATCATCTGCCTGAAAACTAATTTGCACAGAGATAGCCTGTCTTCGGACATGCTATTAATAGGGGTGTTGAAGGTTGTCTTCTTCATTATTGTGTCAAACAAGAATGTGGTTCGTCTTAAGAAGTCTTTATGCTTTACATGGTACGCGATGATGCTTCAGTGGTAGTTCACCTCTCTGTGGGCAACTGTGTGAGCAAAGATGATTTTCGGGACATTCTTGCTTTTGAAATACCTTTTGTGTGTGTGCTTTAGTTTTTTTTTTCCCATTTCTTTCTTTCTTTCCTTTTTTTTTTGAAAACTCTTAGTGGTAACAAGATAAAAATCACCGAGAAGGGGAAGGGTGAAGAGTAACAAGCTGACATAAGGTGGTGAATCTTTTATTCGAATATTTCTGAGTAAATTGGAACAGTTATTTTCTTTGGCTAATGTTTTACAATTTAGTTAGTCTAGTGTTAAATTTAACTTCCATATTTGTTTTTTCTATTTTTCAAACTTCTGGTACTCATTTTATTGTCTTTTTCCCAATTCCAGTGAAACATATCGTTATTTTGATCTCCCGTTCTGTTCTCCAGGTTTGCATATGTTCACTCTTGGTTCCTTTGTTTTAAATCATTTTTTTTTTCTAGTGGAGGTGCAGTATTGACTAGATGTCAATTTCAGGTGATGTGAAAGATAAAAAGGAAGCTCTTGGTGAAGTGCTGAATGGAGATCGTTTGGTTAGTGCCCCCTATAAACTCGACTTCTTAGTTGATAAAGACACCGAAGTTGTTTGCAAGCAGAAGCTGACAAACGAACAAGTTGCTCAGTTCCGAAGTGCTGTCAAGAAGGACTACTACTTCCAAATGTACTATGATGACTTGCCCATCTGGGGTTTCCTAGGGAAGGTTGATAAGGAAGGCAAAGATGACCCCAGCGAGTACAAATATTACCTATTTAGGCATCTTCACTTTGAGATCCGTTACAATAAGGATCGTGTGATTGAGATTAATGCACGAACTGACCCTAGTTTGCTTGTGGACCTTACGGAAGATAAGGAAGTTGATGTGGAATTCATGTACTCCAGCAAGTGGAAGGAAACAGACATTCCTTTTGAGAGTAGGATGGACAAGTATTCTCAGTCTTCGTCGATGCATCATCACTTGGAGATCCACTGGTTCTCAATTATCAACTCATGTGTAACGGTTCTCCTCTTGACTGGTTTTCTGGCCACAATTCTCATGCGAGTTCTTAAAAATGATTTTGTCAAGTAAGGAGCATTTGCATCTATTGCAGTAATACTTTATTTTTACACTTCCGTTTTGACCCTTCGATTTTATTTATGCGTGTTTTTATTTATGCAAGATATGCCCATGATGAGGAGACAGCCGATGACCAAGAGGAAACTGGCTGGAAGTACATCCATGGTGATGTTTTCAGGTATCCGAAGTACAAGTCCTTGTTTGCTGCAGCCCTTGGTTGTGGTACCCAGCTGTTTGCTCTGTAAGTGTAACCGTGGAGCTGTCTTGTTCATTTAGCTCACTCATCAATTTTTTTAATCATTTATTTAGCATTTTTGTGACCTTATTAATGCTTTTTTCCCCAGTGCCATATTTATCTTTATTCTCTCGCTGGTTGGCGTATTTTATCCAAATAACCGGGGAGCTCTTTTCTCTGCACTCTTTGTCATATATGTGCTTACATCTGGTATAGCAGGCTATACTGCAACCTCTTACTATCACCAGCTTGAAGGAACAAATTGGGTATGTGGTTTGCAAATTTTATTTTTCTTATCTAAGTTGTATAAATTGCTTTGGTATTCTTAATTCAGACTCTCATTGTGGCATGCCTTCTGCAGTAATTATGCTGTTTCATGATTCTGTACCTTTTTACAAGCCTGTTATTATAAGAAGAGTCTTTAACATGTAAGAGAACAGTGATATAAGAAAAACGATATGGACAATGCTATTACCTTTTGCAACTTCTGATTTTTGGTTTTGAACATCGGGATCATCATCATCTCTCTCCCCCCCCTCCCCCTCCCTCTCGTGTGCGTGTGTGCAGGACAGAGTAGAAATGGATTTCTAAGGAGTGACCAAGTGAGATGCGGTTTTAACAATATGACCATTCCTATAGTACATTGACGAAATAAGATTCATATAGTTGATTCCAAATAATTGGGACAAGACTTTGTTGAGTTAAATTGAGAGTGACTGAAGGAGAAACTGGATTCTAGTGAGTGCAGCTCTAGGATATTTATTGTGCTAAAGTGCAGTGGTTGGTGGAGAATTTTTCAATTGCTCTCTTAAATCTCATTTTATCCTGCAATTGATTACAGAAAACTGCTGTATTATTTCTGGAACATGGAACCTATACTTCATAATATTCTCATAGTTAATAGTGGAAGAAAAATTCACTAGCACTATATCCCATGGAACACAGATACTTACATGCAGGTTGGGGTGTCTATCTCCACTACATAGTGGATACAGATAGCCTCAAATACGATTGGATACATATTGGATACTGTTGGATAATTACTGGACATATCTGTGTATAGCCGGATTTGCACCAGGATACAACTGAGAAAATATAACTAATACTTTTGGAATATACAAGTATACATTGGAGCTGAAAATGAGTTTATATTTTTTAAATGGGCCAATGAAGTACATAAAGCTAGATGTTTTTTTTTTTAGAGTAGAGTTACTGCACCAAAGTATAATTTCTACCTAAAAAATGACTCTATCCAACATGTTACTTTTTGAGCAGGTCCCTTTTAATAATATTTAATTACTCTTAGACTTTGATATATTTTTAAAAACTTCCTATACATTTGGTGTTTGTACCTTCCTCAGGCATTTATATGTAGTCAAAAGACTTTTGAAAGCTAGCAAATTACGCGGTCACCAAGGATCAAAATGTCGTGTCGACACGTCCGAAACGTTTCGGAATTTCAACACTCCGAAACGAAACAGTAGTTGAATCACAAAATTCCAGTGTTTCGGTCGAAACGGTACTGTTTCGGACCGTTTCGGTCGAAACGGCATTGTTTCGAACCGTTTCGACAAAACAGTGATATATTCGGTTCATTATGAATAATTACATTTAATACCCATTATAATTACATTTAATACCCATTATAATTACATTTAATACCCACTGTAATTACATTTAATACTCACTATAATTATATTTAATATCCCACTATAATTACATTTAATTCCCACTGCTCTTCTGTCTTTTATAATTTTTTTGTTATAAGAATAAATAATTACACTTAATACCCTACTATAATTATATTTAATACCCATTATAATTATATTTAATACATATTGTAATTATATTTAATACCTCACTGCTGTGCAAGTTTTTTGCTTTTTTTTTTTGTTATAAGTATTAACAATTACATTTAATACCCTAATGTAATTATATTTAATACCTACTGTAATTACATTTAATACCCACTGCAATTACATTTAATTTTTAAGTATACATAAGTATCATTAATTTAATTTGATACCCTTAATTATTAGTATTATAATAAAATAGTATTATTAATTGGATTATATTACCGTAATAATATGATTTGGAGTAACTATTATCATCATATTTATGTCACATATGGAGTTTCTCTAAGTAGCTACCCAGAGCCTACACCGATGTATGAGCCTGCTCGACACTCCACAGGGGAATGGATGTAACCATGTAAGTATGTACTCATTAGCATTTAATGTGTATTATAAGACCTTAATATTATGTAAAAATGTGTTTATTTCATAAAAATTAAGTGTTTGAAACTAATTTAAGTGACTTTCGCCTCAAGTCAAACCTTTTTTTCTCTCAAATTTAAATTTATTCTTGTATAAATTGATGTTAACCTAATAAATATGTTGAATTAATAAATTATTTAGCATATCTTTATAAATTAATGGATTGCATTTGTGTTTCTATGCGTTTCCATATTTTTCTGCGTTTCCATTGCGTTTCCGAAATGTTTCCGAAACGTTTCTATTTTTGAGTTGACCGAAACGGTACTTCGAAACGAAATTTTGATCCTTGGCGGTCACTCAACATGATATAGAAATGCTTTCTTTTAAGCCTACAAATGGAATAACTTTAATAGACGTAATTAGTAAAGCAATGTGGTGGCAAGAGATCCTTATATACATTCTAGGAAGTATAAATATAGATACGAGATATGGTTGCGATACGATACAGACACGGTAATACGACAAAGTCAAAGAAAATAGGATGTGAATACGGTCAAAAATATATTTTATATTTTTACCATGACGTAATTGGTAAGCATCGATCATCCCATGATAGTATACCCATAAAGTGAATGTGTCTAATTTAAAAAGTCATAACCAACGTTTAAGTAACTGATTTAACCAACATTTAAGTAACTAATTTTCTTAAAAGTAGGTGTATGGTGTAATTAACCAATTTTATGCCCTTTTGATATATGATAGTAGATTATACTTAAAAAACACCAACTTATCTCCAAAGTCATCTCAATTTTTCTTTTGCATCGATGTAATTGAATTTGAGAGAACATTGTACATAAAAATTTAAAAATATTTTATTAATTTTTGGATACGTCTACTGCATATTCGAGATGTATCCTCAAATATTCAATGAGCATGACATTCAATAAGGATGTTTATTTTTTCTTTCTTTTTCTTTAATTATGCAATTTAAAATTGAAGTGAACAAAGCTAAAATAAGAGGGAGGTAAAGGAGAGAGAAGAGAGGTAAGTGTGGATTAATGTGGTTGCTTGGCATTGGGGAGTGTGTTAGTTGAATTGTCTGAGATCGGATACATGAATATGGAAAACAAATTTAGGATGAAATATGAGATCAAAATAGATGAGAATTGAATCAATATTGACCGTTGTTGTACTTTTAGAAATTGCGAATTTAACTTTCGAGTTGTAATATAAGTTAGATATAAATAGATGTATCGTCTGGATTCAAATCCTTTTTCCTTTTATTTTGCGGGATGACTGTATCCGTATTGTTTGTATGCATGCTTACTAGTTTCTACCTCTCTGTCACATCCCTACACATGTGCACAGAGAACAGAGTAAAGTTTCCTCTGTTTTTATCCTAGTTTAAATAAGTTATTTTTCTGGAAATGGATGGGTATACTGTGGTATTTCCACAGATCCATGACTTCGATAGTAACAGTACACGACCATATTTTGTATGAAGATAGTTGGCTCTCAAGTGCATTGGAGCAATTCCTTTTTCTTATGCTCTTCCTGGTCTTCTTTGGTGGTAACAAAAAAGGACCAAATATAGTGACCTAAACAGATAGTTTGATTATCTAACTTTTGATCTCTGACTGTCAGGTGAGAAACTTGTTATTGACTGGATGCCTGTTCTGTGGACCACTGTTTCTGACATTCTGCTTCCTTAATACTGTTGCAATTGCTTACGGTGCCACTGCTGCATTGCCATTTGGTACAATAGTGGTTATAATTCTTATATGGACTCTGGTGACATCTCCTTTGTTAGTATTTGGCGGGATTGCAGGAAAGAATAGCAAGGCTGAGTTTCAAGCTCCTTGTCGCACCACCAAATATCCCAGAGAGATCCCCATGTTGCCTTGGTATCGTGGAACTCTTCCTCAGATGGCAATGGCTGGCTTTCTGCCTTTCAGTGCTATCTATATTGAACTTTATTACATATTTGCAAGTGTCTGGGGTCATAAGATTTACACCATATACAGCATTTTGTTTATAGTCTTCATTATTCTCCTAATTGTCACTGCATTTATCACGGTGGCATTGACATATTTTCAACTTGCTGCTGAAGATCACGAATGGTGGTGGAGGTATGTATCATGCTGAACAGAATATTTTTCGTTCTGTAATAGATGTTGACTGATCATGCCTTTTTTTCACTTATTTTCTTGTTCTGTAAGAGGGCATAGTTTATTTTGATCTATTTACAAGTTGAATTAGATGTAGTTATGCATGTTAGTGCTACGGCATTAGAAATTGCAGCCAGAGTCGTACTAAATGCCCATTAGATTTTCCCTTTGATAGATCACATGGTAAGTTGTTTGCTGTGATTCATGCCGAGTCTTTTACCTAAATGGTTTGGTAATTCAGTTGAGACTGTTGTGTTCTTCCTTCCTGTAGCTGAAAGCAATGGCAAAACAAAGATTCCTATTGGGACTGAAGAGATGTATTTCTTAATTGTTATTGTCAGGGGTTTAAACCACAATGACAAAAATTTGTATCTAATGGTCAATGTTTGGGTCATTGCAGAAAGGAAAGTACTCATTCCAGTGTTATGAGCTCAGTTAAAGTTTCAAGTACTAGCAGATTTGCTTAGAGTAGTATGTTAAAGTTCGTAAGAGGCTTTGATTAACAAGTCTGGGTAGGGGTTAAAGTAAGGCATGAAAATCTGTGAATTGTGCATCAGTAAATTGCAGAACTTGGATTTTAAGTAGGGCTGACTAGAAACAATGATGGTGCACAAACACATTAGCCTTAATACGTGGCCGGCTGCAACCGAGGGATGGATTGTTTCTTCATATCAAAATGCCACAAATGTTTGTATTATGATTTGCAGATTACACTCGGATTCTAATGAATACAGATATGTTGTGATTTTTGTGTTTGGTTTTGCAAAATAATAAGCTTAGATTGTTTAAGGACACATATGATATCTCGGTCTCAGAAAACTGCCCTTTTTAGAGATTTCATGTGCTTGGTCCAGCCGTCTACTTATATACGTTTGGTTGTTAACTTCAGGTCTTTCCTTTGTGGTGGATCCACTGGTTTGTTCATCTACAGTTATTGCTTGTATTACTACTATGCTCGATCAGATATGTCGGGATTTATGCAAACCTCATTTTTCTTTGGGTACATGGCTTGCATCTGCTACGGTTTCTTTCTTATGCTTGGGACCGTTGGTTTCCGTGCGGCTTTGTTCTTTGTACGTCACATATACCGCTCAATCAAGTGCGAGTAGAGTCAGATGGTTGGTCGTCTATGTGAAGAAGGTACGTTTTCCCATCTCTTTGGAGGTATATATTATAGATACAGGTTTGAGAGGAAGGTAGTTGAGTGTGTGTATCTGATACAATAACTTGTGTTTCTTCTGTTCAGCGTTGTTCAGGTGCACCGTTCGAAGAAAGTGCATTTTACACGATTCACAGATTTTGGTTAGTTTCAGTGGATAAAATGGACCAAATAGGATGTGGAAAGCACGCTCCCCCTTGTGTTTGTGACTCGATACTTGATGATAACGTAGTTTAGATTTACTTCTAAAAACTCCTTTTTTGTTTTTTATAGTATGCATAGCTCATATGAACATTATTGGCACATTAAGTGTGCATCTCTGCAGTTTTTCTTATCTATATTAAGTTTTCGTTCGAGCTATGCATTGTTGAAGTGTATGCCCACTAACGAGGAGACTAGGTAGATGCAAAAGTGTTTAAGCCTTCAAGCACTAGAAGGCTACTAAGTAGATCCTATGTCACCATTAAAAACTCAATTTCTTTTAATTTTTACTTGGATTCTGATAAACTTACTACTTGTTTGCTACAAATAAAATAATTGAACTTAATGTTCTACTTGATTGAATTTTGATGCAAAGGAAAGAAAGTGTGGAGTTGAAATAACTCGGAACGTTTTTTAAAAGATTACGTGGTACGTTTAGATTGAATATGCCCTTTTGGAATAAATATTCAGATGCTTGTGAACTTTCAGGTACTGTTTTATTTAATGTTTGTTCATTTATTCTTTTACTTGCAAATGCAATGTTTTATTTAATGTTTGTTCATTTATTCTTTTACTTGCAAATGCAATTTAGGCATCGGGTTTAACAATAATGATATTCCTTAACAATAATGATATTCCCCAACATACAACACCCGCTATCACCTCACCAGCAGGAACAAGAATGTAGGAGTACTTTTTTATGGATCGAAAAAAGTATGGTAGCCTCCTATATGCCTCGATAACAAACATTTTTGAAACGACTTGTCCTATTTTTGCCTCCGAACACTTCTACTGCAAGTAACTCTGGCTACATCAAAAACTGAAAATCTCATTCTATGTTTTTAAAACAGAGCGAATCAGAACCTTTCAAAAATAGTTGGATACTTGGACTCGAATTTTATTGAACGTATGGACAATAGAAAGTATTTTAAGGAGCTCTATCTTGGGAAACTACTAATCTATGCGAACAAAATTTATTGCTTGCTTTGAAGTTATGTAACAAGCATTATGATTAAGAAATGTCAACTCTATAGCACGTTAATTTAGTATTTATTGTGATAATTTAACTGCAATTTTCATTTTTAGAATTTTTAAAAGTAGAAGTCAAAGTAAGCACATAGTCAAAAAATATTTTCAAAAGTTAAAGACCAAGGTTTTTCGACTAAGTTGCATAGAAGTCATTAGCACCGTATGAGACTCTTTTTTTTTTTTTTTTGATCCAATCACCGTATGAGACTCACTGGCTCATCTTATATACAAGGTTAGGCCAAGATCACACAACTCGCCTCCTACTGTCAACGATCCGAACGCAAATCTGCGATTTGGTAATGAATTCGTCACAAATTCATAAAATTGAATCCGCAAATTTTATAATAATGAAATTCGTGCACCAAAAATACAAAAAAAATTGAACAAAATGAATATGAAGAACTCAAACCCATTAAAAGATTTCAACCACCTACTGCGCCTGTCATCCCAATGAGCCCAGTAACTTAAGTAAGGTAATCACTCTACTCTACTCTACTCTACTCTACTCTACATATGAATTTTTGTTTACCTACCTGATTAAGTATGATATTTCTATCCGACTTCTGACCAAATTAATCGGGTAAAAAATTAGATGAGCACTTTTGTAGTTATTAATTTTTAGATCATTTTAATAATTCAATTAAATAATATGCACCAATTTAACAACATAATAAATCAATAACACTAAAACTTAAAACAATTATAATAAATTACAAGAAAGTATGAACATCACTCCATAATTATTACACAAATACATTAATAATTATTTAAAATTTAAACAATATTATTAGAGAATTAAAATTTTTAGTTTATATATATATATAAATGCAAGTAGGATAAAGGAAAATTACAAAAGTTAATAATTATTCTGTATTTCTATCCAATTTAATCAAAAAACTAAAAATTCTTCCACATTTCTATCCAATTTTTTCTTTTAATTAAACCTTCAATAGAATTGAATAAAATCAGACGGAATAATAAAAAAATATGACCAATCAAAAATTAAAACACTCCTAATCGTAAGAAAAAATTAATCAAACATTTAAGAAAAGATAACTACTGCCGCCCTTTTATAAATCTTTTCCATTTATAATGCTTGCGAATCTACAACTTTGGGATTTAAAGGGTAGGCTGTCGTTTTTAAAATTGTCTTCCCATTGAACTTCTTGTTACTCTATCGATGTGGGAAGGGAGTTTTGTTGTAAAATGTCCCTTCCCTTTTTCTTTATTTCTTTACATAATCATATTTGTTGTTTTTAATATTTTGACATCCTCTTTTTTAATATATATCACAATGTCATATATATATATATATATAAATTTGACGTTCTTAGTGGCACTTTCGCTCTTAAATTTTTAAAAAATTTTACGTTCTCATGCTTCGCTTTTTCTTACACTTCCGCTGTCACTCCCGTTTGTGCTCTATGTATGTGACTTAGGATTTGACTTCTTATTCTCTAAACAGTTTGCTGACGATTAAGCTATTTTTTGGGGAAAGAAAGTGACGATTTTATTTGTGGGTGTAAAGAATGCTAGGAGTTGAGACTTGAGGGGATCCACGTGCTACACCTTTGTGTTAAATTCTATCATACGCTTGTCGTAGAGGAAATTTGAGGTGGCCCACATCTCTTACAGGAAACTTTAGGTGGCCTACATGTAAAATTAATATTTTTGTAAGTTTGAGACCAATTTGTTGAGATCTTTTTTTTTGAAGGAACTTAAAAATTGTTTAAATTCGAATAGTTTAAGAAATGAACCGAGCCCAAAACGAGTAAAAGTCGAGCCGAGTCCGAATAACTTGATTATTTTGCGTATAAACGAATTGAGTTTTGTAAGTTCAAGTCGAGCTTTTAAACTTATTTTTTAAACGAATCTAAAAAATTATTCAAATTCAGTTCGTTTAGAGTTTGAAGTTATAAGTTGAATTCTAAATTTATAAAAACACAATAACCGTTGAGATTGATAAATTTTCACATATTTTGATTAAATGGTATAAAATTTATCTCATTTTTTTTTTTGTTCCAAAACCCTTAAAAACTACGTATTTAAGCTAACTCAAAATAGGAGCGGTGTGGACTTGTTCACATGATTTATCCTCCAAGACTTCATTTTTGGATAAGATTATTAAAGATCTTTGGAATTTGAACTAGCTCAATATTTGATTTGTTAAGACTTGTTTAAATATTATATTTTCTAAAATTACATTGTAAATGAACTTGTTAGAAGCAAAATGTGTCTCGTAAACTAAGCTCCGATCTATCCAACTCAAATAAGTTTTTTTTTTTTTTAAAAAAACAATTCTTATTTTACTACCAAATATTATAAGCGTAATATTGGGTTAATTTATTGACGTAATTCATTATAATAATTGAGTTAGTAACGAAATTTCATATTGGATGATTTTTTAATTTTCTTTTGACAAATGATGAATTTTTTACATGAGGACCCAAATTCTTATCGAAAACACTAGCTTTCGATCTCCATCTATTTTAATATTAATTTTTCGTAGTTCAACTAATTATATAATCTATCATGACCTATACTAAGGGTTCTTGTGTTTAGTTGGATTCCTCGCTAATGCACAATGAATGATCTAGTCGACATGAATGTACGGCAGCACCAAGTATCAATCAATGAATGATATGAATGTACTGCAGCACCAAGTCTCAATCAACAAAATAGTAAAGTCTATTATCAATCTACTGATAGATAACGATTAAGTTAATAAATAAAATCAACAAATAAAATCAACCAAGCAATCCCAATATCCTTTGACAGCACGCGCGTATAATTGCTTACAAAATTTCTACTCGTCTATGAGTCAAAATTATGATTTATATTTGACGAGTAAAATAATACGGACAACAATGACGTAAATTGAACCGCAGTTCGATGAATTTCACGGTCTTCTACCGTATATCCTTTCACTCAAAAATTTGAATTTAATGTGAACTGCAATCGTCTGAATTCTCTCCTAGCCTTTTTCTCTCTGACTCTTATAAACGTGAAGATAAAGGTTGTGGTTGAGAGAATTAAGAAGTGAATTTATTTATAGGTTATCGTAATTCGTAGAGACCCTAATGAGAAATAAAAGTTGGGTTTCCAATGAGTTTAAGAATTCTATGTCCAATCCAAAACAAATAATCTACAATCTATTAATAATATATTAGTCTATTAAAAAGTTATTATTAATCTCTCATGCCTTGTGTCAATATTATAGTTCGAGCTATTCGTTATTATATGCTTAATAATCTCATCATATTTAAAATTATAAATGTCAGTCAATAATTAAATTAATGATAATTATATTTAATTTATTTCTTTCTTTTTATCCTTGATATCTTACCACTCGATTTATTTGTCGTGTCGGATAATTAAACTCACATGCAGGGTTTGACATGGACAAAACTTATGAGTTTCTTCAAAAGGATATAATCAACTCATTTAAATATTGGGACGTGATTTTCTTTAATAATTAATTTCTACCTTATAAATAATGTTATATGTCAATTCACTGAGTTTATTGACTCAAATATGAATCTCACTAGTTAATGAATTAAAGTGACAATTAGTATATGCACGTGTTAATTAAATATCTCACAATTAAGAGTTTAACTAATCATAATAACTATGTAGTATTTATTTTCTTATTTAATAATAATAAAAAATAACCTCAATAATGGTCATATACGAGACATTAGACAATTTCTTATAACCAAGACATACTATGCCAGAAGATTGCACTGCAATCCAACCAATTATGTGTTCAATTCTATTTAAGACTGTGAACATTTTATCATATCGTACAAAAATCTGATAATTTGATCTTCTATGTATAAACCAAACTCTACACACATGGGCAGAGCTACATTGGGACCGGGGGTGGGCACTTGTCTCCCCCAATTTTGGATCACTTTTGATGAGACCCCATAAGATTACTCAATGTACCACATTTATCGTCCCTAAAATTTTGAAAATTTACATAATGGTACTAGTCCCTTTTTTCCCCAGTAAATTAGTAGTTTATTAGCCCTCTAAAACAAATGTTTTACTTTTGGATCAAGTAAATTGGATGTAAACGTCATGATCTATTTATATATATTGAAAAAAATATAATATTTCTATTTTATTTAATACACTACTTTCCAATCATTTAAAAATAATTGTATAGCTATCATTTATTATTTTTCGATTTGTTTGTAGTGTATACCTAGTAAAATATAATTGGATGCAAAAGCCACATGTTATAACCCAAAAGTATTTTATGCTATGTCAAACATGTAATTTCTCTATAAAAACGAGAATGATTTTAATTATATTTTACAATTATATAAAGAATAATTTTACTACAGACTTTGTGATTGTATGCGTTGGTAGAAAATTAGTGAGAAATCTAACTTACAATTAATCAATTATGAAAAATCTTAGAGATTTAAAAGAATATTGTATTTCATATAATACATGATTGTGTTATTGTTTCGAATCTTAGTCTATTTTGTTATTTTTTCTCTCATTTTTTTTGGTATCAACTATTGAATTATTTTTAGTTATATTTTTTTCCCTCTCATTCCTGGCTCCACTCCTATCTATACATCAGATTTTCTATAATATAAAATAAAAAATATACATGCATAACATATATTTAATATAATACAAATATTTTATTCATACAGACTCTCAATAGAAAATAAACAACGTTTATTAAATAATAAATTGAGTTTCATTATAAAAAATTAAATTTTAATATATAAATCTACGAAGTTTAATACAATGTTGAAAAAAAATTTGGTACCATACTTTCATTTACTACATTTGTGGTTACATTTACTATATTTGTGGTATTTTTACAATTACTGTGGTACCCAAAAAAATGGTAAAATAGTTACCACAATAGTGATAAAAATATCTATAAATATGGTATACCCACAAATGTGATAAATCACCAACAAAAATGATAATTTTTTTGTACCTAAAAAAAAGGTAAAAATTGTTATTACAAATATTATAAAAATATCTACAAAAATAGTAAATCAACCACAAAAATGATAAATTTTTTGGTTGTAAAATAACTACAAAAATTATAAAAACACCATTTAAAGTAAAAAATTTTAGAAGTATGGTAACCAAATTTCTTTGGCCGAACCGTAATCAAATCCATAACTCTATCATAAGTATTATTGCTCTTTCAAAGTTTGGCACTCATTGCCCAAACACAATTTACAGAAAGAGAGAAATGATTGGTCTTCTCACTCCCCAATTGAAGCCTCTTGCCTTGGCCTTACTCGTGAAAGGTTAAATGTTCATCGCATGCAGTTTTTCAAAGGCCTATTGTCCATAAAAGCTACAACTGAGATTTTCAAAGGTCCATATAACTTTTTTCACTCTTTTTTCCCCCCAATGAGAGCACCAGAGAACTGACAATCAAAGTGAGTGGGTGGCTGGTAATGTGTGTGTGTGTGTGTGTCTTGCCTGGGTTGAGAGGACTGGAGCTTCTGTGGAAAGCTTACAAAATTTTGGGCACTGAAAAACATGGTGTTTTATTGCATTAAAAGTTGAATGGTACCCATGAAAAAAGCCACGGGCGACTTGTTAAAAAGTCGCTTTAATCCTACTTCTGACTTCTGATTCCGGTGTTCCATTTTCAGATCTGAGGACCCACATGCCTTTTTTTGTTTTCTTTTTAAGAGTAATTTTATTTTACAAATTTTAATACCGTACAAAGAAAATTACTAATTTTAATAGTAAAATTATATTTTTTAAATGTGAAATTTTAATTACTAGAAGAAAATTCATGATCGATTATGAAATACTATCATCAATCGTGAATTTCCTGAAGTAATTGATCATGCACTTTATAATTATAACTTATATTTTAAAAAAAATTATAATTTTTAGTATGGTATCAAAGACAATACTGTAATCTTTAAATTTCTCTTCTTTTAATTATATGAATTCAATTACGATACTTCTGATTTTTTTCTAACAAAAATCATTACATGGCGTCGTAATATTTACGAGGTATTATGATACTATTTTTTGGTTTCATATTAAGATTACTATAAAGTAAGAGTGCCGTTAGAATTTAATTTGATAAAGGTATGATAACAAAAAGATTGTTTGGGATCGATACTAAATGAATCCTAACATTATTTTAATATTGATCTTAATTTTGTTTTTTCATAATCTATTGAGCTGTCTTTTTTACTTGTAAACTTTAGATAACAAGGTATCTCTTTTTGTTACCATAGTCTTACCTTTACATTACTCTAATAACACATCATAACCGAATTCTCACAGTTATAAATTTGAGGAAGTTTGAATGTATGCAAATGCAAGTTAATTTACGTCTTTTGGGGGAGTGACTGTTTGCATGATATGAATCTCGAATGGAGAATTTTATTCTCTCTCTCTCTCTCTCTCTCTCTCTCTCCATATATATTGTTTACATGAAATAACATAAGATTCTTTCTTTTGCCAAATTCATCCGTGCTCACATGAGAAAACAATTTACAGAAATGGTAACAAAATGGGTTGAAACATTGCATGTTTTCAATCTTGCCAGTCTGCTTGATTCCAATTATCTCTTGACATTATTAAATTTCAACCACACACTCAAAAAATATTGTCAAATATAAGGATGTTATTGCATAAAATCCAACGATACGATTCACTCAAAGCTGATTATGACTTAATTTGGATCAAATTATGATCTCAAGAATAGGCATTAATCTTCAAACATGATAACAATCCTAAAATTTTACAATCGATCCCAAACAAACTCATTTTGTCTAACCGCATCTAATGGAATTCTAACTTCACTCAATTTACCACAAGTTTTGTCTACATTGCTGAAAAATAATCATTCAATATTCTAGAATCCAACTAGATCAGACATGAAATTTTCACAAACAGTCAAAGTGGTTACAAATTCTGGGGGAAAACATGTGATTTCTTCAAAAACCAAGCCACCATCACAAAGTATTTAATCTTTGGAACTTCTTCTTGCAAGCAAGACAATTTATGTGCAGAATGTTGGAATTCATTTCCTTTCTTGCAACATCTTCCAGCACTTGCGCCTTATTCAACTCCATTTCAGCAACTTGTCTGATTTTCTTTGCCTTCGTGAACTCTTGCTCAGCCAATTCAAACACCCATTTTGCTTGTTGCCGCCTCTCTTCTGCCAAGCCTCTCTCTTCCCAGGCCACCCTCAGCTGCTCATGCGCTGCCTCTCTCAACCTTGATGCTGCCAATTCATGTTCTTCAATATCAACCCTGTGCTGGAAGTAGGCTTTCCATGCACAATTGTTCAATATTGGTGAATGGTTTATTTCGTTTTCTTCATTATTAATACTTAGAGATCCAATTGATAGACTTAATTGGGTGGCATGATATGGCCTGGAGGACTAAAAATAGATGGTTTTGGACTTAATTTTCGATGGAAGTTAGAGATAGAGTGATTGTTTTGTACCGAAAACACGATTTCGGGTTTATTCTGATTGGGTATGTTCCAAATTGGAGTAGAGGTGGTGCTTGAATTTGAATTTCTAGGAGCTGGTGACTGCAATTCTGTGTGGATAGTAGTCCTACCTTTGCATGACTCTTGATGCTCCATGAAAATGTCTACCCTGTGGGAATTAAGATAAGTGTTATAAAACAATGAATTGAATAAATTTGGACAAGGGCTCACATGCACTCACCATATATTCTCATTAAGCACCTAAACAAAAAGAAAGCATGGTTTAGGATTGCGGTATTGTCTATCGACTCTGAAGGTACCAAGACATGTCGGTCATTGTATAACAAGATAGTATGAGCAATGCTTACAAAAAAAATACATTGAAGAAGTGGAACACATGATAAATTCAAATCATATCGCGGTGTTGCATAATGATACAAATCAACTTAATGGTAAGGCCTCAAATGACTCGAGGTAACACAGAACTATAATAGATCATGTAAGTTGTTATGCATCCTGACACTTTATCTTGAAATTGAATGAACCGGCTTTATATTTATATATATCCATTTATAGGAAGACACCATTTAAGATACTGGCTGGCAAGGTTTTGATGTTACCAACCAAAAGTTTTTTCAACAGAAACTTTGATGGTTGTATTAATCATCAATGATCAAACTATAGTCATTTTTAAAATTTTCCACAGTATTATTGTTTTCAACTTATTTCTCAAACTACCCTCGATTTTTGTGATAGTTTAACACTTATACAAAAACATCAATAAATTGAAAACCAACCTAAAAATTATGACAGAGAAAGGAACAAGATCAGAAAATCGCGAAAAACTTGGATATTAAAGATGAAATTAATTAATAAAGCAGAACCTGGAGAAAACACGACCACAGTCACAAGAATGGCCTCTGGTACCACAAGTTTTGAGATGAGCCTTCAAATCAGCTTGAACAGCATAACCTTTAGAGCACTTGTCACAAACCCATTGCTTCTGATTGCTATGTTTCCTTCTGAAATGCTTCTTTACTCCCACCAGATCACCAAGTGCATGGCATGGATCATGGTGCAAGCAAGTTGGCTCTGGACAAACGTAAACTCGCTTCCGGGCATCGCTACTCTCTCTCTTCAGTAGCTTCCATGGGACCTTTCCAATGCATTTGGAAGCGATTGACAGACAGATAAGTCAATTGGCAAAGGGTTTGTGAGAAGAAACATGAAATCACACTGATCATAAGTCAATTTATAAATAAGGGATGAAATCATAAGTATTATCAAGTTGTGTGGGCCTAGTGGTGCCTAGCGCAGTAGCACCCCATTAAAGGTCTTTCCCTCGGAGGCGTTTGTTTTTAGTATTAGAGTGATATAAAGAGATGATATTAGGAAAATAGTACGTGAGATTCATCTTATACGTTGTTTGTTTGACATTTTATAGTCAGTACTATTTTCTGGGTCGTAATACCGACCTGCTATGAACAGTAGTCATAATGCTTTGTAGAAAGTCTTAATAAATATCACCTAGAGGTGGTATTATATTCTTGGTATAAGTATTATAAACTAAAAAAATCGAAATACCCTCCGGTACAATTTACATATAAAAGTCTAGCCGCAATTTTTGACTTTTTAAAGGTTAAAATTATTTTTCACATTAATTAGCCGCAATTGCTGACTTTTTTAAGTAGGTATTACACAAATAATATTTGTGATAAACAAACAAGGAGAATAATGAAATTATAGTTTAACACCGAATATAATATACTATTGAATTGGAGTGAAATAGTTATAAAATTTTATACCATCTAAATTTTATAATCGAAACAAACATGTCCTCCTCGAGGTATACCAGGTTTGTAACTTGGGTTTAATTTCCGAGAAAGAAAACTGTTGAGTTGCTTCTAGTAGTTCAGTGGAGTTGGGGGTGAGGATCATCTGCTGTTAAAAAATTAACAGTAGAATATAGACATAATGACGCAATTTTGGTATAAAACAAACGTTGTTTCAATTAATAGTACCTCTACTAAGTTGGACCGGAAGTTAAGATTGTCCTCAGGGGAGGTTCGCGGGTTCTCCGTCTAGGCCCCTCTTGAGGACTTTCCCATATAATGAGGGTTGCTAGGTTAAAGTACGCTTGATAAGGACTCCACGTCTGGTTGCCTTTTTTCTACCCAAATTTTTCATAGCAAAATAAAAGTGTTTTTGGGTGAAAAATAATACCTTGTGGCGGCGCCGGTGCATCTGGAGATTCTGCTCCCTTTGGAACCCTTGGTTGCAGATTTCACAGATGTATTGATCTGATTCCATTAACGTCTCGGGAGAGAGAGAAACTACTTGTGCATCAGGATCTACGATAGTGGCCATACAACACAATAAATCAATAATCCAAAGAAAAAAACAAAAACAAGATATAAACTAGGGATCGAAAAAAAAATTGATTTTGAAAATCTGCAACTTTGTGATTCTGACCTGGTGTCCCAACAGGCCTTCTTTTCCTCTTATTGTTACTGAAACCATCTTCTGAGCAAGCAAAAACCTCAGAAGAATCATGAAGAGTGAAAAAATGGGTGGCTAACATTAGTTTTGAGACCTAACTTTCTCTCCTCTAGTTAGTTTTGAGACCTAAGAGGTTTCACCTCAGATATCAACCTGACAATTCAAATTTTGTGCTACTGCTATCATCTCTCAATCTTGCATATGCATATGCACATGCCAGGGATGTGTTGGTTTTGTTGAGAGAGAGAGAGAGACCTCGTAAACTACACAAGCTATACCCTGTCCAAAATTGTATCATTGGTCTGAGATCAAAAGAATTTGTGGAAAAGACTTCTTCAGGCATTAAAGCTATCTACTGTTGTGAACATAGAGGTACTGAGATCATTTTTATAACTGATAAAATAGGAAAATGTTATAGAACTCAAATGTAATCAAAAAAATTATAATTTAAATGTATACTATATTTTAGATGAATGAGTTGTATTGAAAAACTTAATAGGACCTACTAATTATTCAAGAAATAATATATATTTAGGTTACAACATATTAGAATTCATTTGAGCTACGTACCATTACTCAAGAAAATATTGTGTGCTCCACGGGGCACCACATGACAATGCGCTCTATATCACTAATGAAAAATGAGTAATATTATTTAGATTTAAATTTTTAACTTAATTTGTTTACTTAAAAATGTAATTTTATTATAATCATTAAATTAATATTAAATTTTAATGTTTAATAGAGTGCATAATCAATCTAATAATTGTAGTTAATTAGGTTAGTAATTAGGCGTAAATACAATTGCTCATAAAAAATTGTACATGACCAATGACTGGTTATCATCTATTATCTTCTCAAAATTTTTTTGTGTGTGTTCCTAATTGTGACAAATTCTCATTTATCTTGTTAAGGTTTTGCATCTATATATGTATGTTTTCAAATTATTTGTTATTTTTTATCTTGTTAAGATTTTGCATCCATATTTCTTATTTTTTTATTATTCAATTTTGTGTATGTCTTTGATGTTTTTTTTTTCATATTCAGTTTTTCGTCTTGTAATTTTGTTTGTTCCTTTAATCTTTACTCAGTTTTTTTTCCTTCTTGTTTTGGTTTGCTTATTTCTTTTTGTTTTTTTATTGTTTCATTCTTTTCTGTCTTATTTCGTTTTGTTTGTTTGTTTCTTTTTTTTTTTCTCTTGTTTGGTTCTTTTCTTTTTTCTTTTTTCAACATGTTTTTTTTTACTTGTTTCTTTTTTCGTTTTTTTCTCTTCTTTCAATTTTGCTTGGTTTTTTTTTTCTTGTTTTGTAAACATATTTATGCATTCAAATTAATTGTCTTCTTTCATTATTCTTTACATACGAATTTTTTTTTTCATTAAGGAGGTGTATATAAAATGAGTGAGCTTAACTATTAATGGGGTGTATATGGTATGTGGTGGAATTAGTTACTAATGAGGTTAATATAGAAGGGATAAACTTAGTAGTTTGATAATGAGAAATTAAATGGAGTGGGAATGGAGGTTTGTGGAGTGAGAATAGCCCCACTCATATCTATATGATCCTAATTCAATTTTCATTCCTTTTACATATCTTTTTTCTATCTCTCACACATTTTAAACACACATACTCTCATCTCTTATATAACTCTATCTTTTTATCTACCTCATACTCACACACACGCTTTCTCTCAATCCTAAACGCAAATAATAATATAAAGTAATAGAAGTTGGAGAGTTTGGTTTGAACGGCTGTACATATCTAATAATAACAAAATGCATCAATACCCATTAAAACTCTAATCTCTCTATATATCATACTCTCATCTCTCATAAGTCTATCTCATTTCTGATATAAGTCTCTCTCTCTATACACCCGCCAATACACACACCTGCCAACATCGACTCCTATCCAGAAAAAAAGAAGATATTTTTAGGTATAATGATTAAATATATAAATTGTGTTCATGTTGATATTTTTTAAGGGTCGTATTTTTAGAGAAGTTTTGTCAAATTTTTTAGAAAATAGTGTTTTTAAATTGATTTTGAATTGTGTAACCACCAACAACTGAACTAGTAAAATTACATCTCAATAATTCTAAAGAAATTTTTATAAATACTTGTTATACAGGCAACACTATTTTCATAAAACAAAATAATTATATCAATGTTTGTCTACATGCTATAGGCTAGCATTTGACTAAAATTAAGAACTTAATAAATTCATAACAAGCCTCATCTTCACAATCCCTTAAGGATAATGATTTTGAACAAGAAAATATCAAATCACCAGTTGATACTTCTACCTTTAATCTTCATAATAAAGTTGAAGATGAGTTCATAATGCACTCAAAGATAAATTAAAAGGATTGTCATAAAATGTAATTTCTAAAACAAAAGGTGAAGAGCAATTTGAAACTGAAATTCAACAATTTAAAGATTCTCTACATCAAATACAGTCTGAAGAAATAAATAAAATTGAATTTTTTAAACCAAAATCTCAAACTAATATATATGCACAAGCCCCTCCAATGTGAACTTATTATCAATGAACAACACCTCAAGATATTTTGTTTGAAGAAAATTTTTTTATTGATCAACAAGGATATGATGTCTCCAATTTATGAATGAAATATTGATGACATGTCTGAATATGTAATTCACCAAGTCTTATAAAATTTTAGTGTATGCTTCAACATGTAAAGTTAATCGCAATTCTGATCATGCTACTGTTAAATTTATTACCACCGGATTTATAGGCCAATAAAAAGACTGGTGGGATAACTATTTAAATCTAGTTCAAAGAAATGAAATATTAAATACAGTCAAGATAACAACAACAGAAAATAGAAGTATAATTACTCAAGAAAACGTTGTATACACCTTAGTACAAACCATATTAAAACACTTTGTTAGATCTTGTTTTCAAAATACTGATAAAAGTAAAGAACTTTTAATGAATTTAAAATGCCCCACATTAACACATTTTAGATGGTATAAGGATGTATTTTGGGCTAAAGTTTTATTACGTTCATATGCTAATAATGAATTTTGGAAAGAAAAATTTATATTAGGATTGCCTAGCTTATTGTTAAAAAAATTAGAATTCGCTTAAAGCAAAAACATGGAGGATTTAAAATCCCTTACGAAAATTATACTTATGAGGAACAAATTTTTGAATGTGTTTCAGAAGGATTAACTCTATATAATAATTTAAATCTTAAAGCTCAACTTAAGAAACAAAGATTAACTGGCAGAAAAGAACTTGGAGAATTCTGTAATCAATTTGCTCATAATCTTGATATTCCAAAAGTTAAGGTTTCTAGTAAAAGAAAACCTTACGCTAAGCCTTATAAAAACGGTAGAAAACTTTATAAAAAGAGTTATATTAAGGACCAAGAAAAGATAAATACACCCACTAAAAAAACTAAAGATAAAAAGCCTCTTCTTAAATGTTTTAAGTGAGGAAAGGAAGGTCATATTGCTTCCAAATGTTCAACTAAAAAATAGATTAGTGAATTAATTAATGATGAGGACCTTAAAGAGAAAATCTTTAAAATTATACTAAACTCAGGAAGTGAATTAGAAGATAATTCTGATAGCTTCTCTTCTGAAGATTACAATATTAATGAAATTAATAATTCATCTTTAGAAACAGAATTTTTAGAACAAGATAAAGCCTGTTCTTCTCATTGTAAAGTAGAAAACGATTATTATAAAACTATTTTAGTTATGAATGAATTAAGTATAAATACTTTGACTAAGTTACAAACATTTGTTCTTGATCTTATAGATAAAATTCAAGATCCAGATTCTAAAAGAAAAGCTATTAAAAAATATTTAGAGATAAATCCAGAAGATAAGAGACCTACTTTGTCGAGACTATAGATAAATCCAGAACATAAGAGACCTACTTTGTCGAGACCATATTCATTAAAGGAAGTCCTTAATAGAACTGAAAGTGACATGGTGCTAACCCACTCCATATAAAAGAAATTTTGTCTATTACGATTTAAGACTTAAAGAAAGAAGTTCATAATGTCGAAAAAGACATAAAAGTCATAAAGGCTAGACTCTTAACTTTAGAAAAATTGCCACTTAAATAAAGTGACATAAAACATGATAAAACATCACTATCACACTCTTCACATAATGAATACTTAAATGTATTAGAAAAAATAACTTATCATAAATGGTATGTTAAAAACATATTAGTTATAAATTCTGAATTTACAGTCGAAATTATTGCTTTAATTGACAGTGGAGCAGATATGAATTGCATAAAAGCAGGATTAATTTTGACTAAATATTTTGAGAAAACTATTCAGTTAGTAAGTACTGTTGATGGTTCAAAATTAAATATAAATTTCAAACTTTCTAATATTATTGTATGTAACCAAGGAATTTGTATTCCTACCACTTTTATACTTATTGATAATTTAAATCAATTGATGATTTTGGGAACATCATTCTTATCTTTAATCGAACCTATATAAAGAATTGATTTTAAAGGAATTTTGACTACTATAAGTGGTCAACAGATATTATTTGAGTTTATAACTCCACCTCAAATAAAGTTAATAAATCAAATAAAAGAAAATCTGATTTATAAAGCAATCCAAATAAATTTCCCATCAACTTCTAACATATTGGGAAGTGATGTTTATTTTGCAGTAAAAGTCCAAGAAGTTCCAGAAATGAGTCATAGTCCAAATTCATTTTCTTTGTACCTTATTGCCAAATCCCTAGAACTTCTTGAATGTATTTGTGATTATGCAGGTGAAGATATTTTTAGCTTTGCCTCTACCTGGCGTAATATTTTTTGCAAGGTTTCACTTTGGTGTGTCTATTGCAATGCTATGGAAGATCAACTAATTGATTATATACCTATCTTTTTGCTAAGAAATGCAAGATGCCAAACAGAGTCCTTCAAAGAATCTTTAACATTTCATCTTATACTTGAACTTAATGGCTGGTATTATGATTGGAAATATAAACAATGGATGGAGAATATTGTCCCTGAAGGATTTTGTCAAGATATGATAAATAAACTTGGTGTTATAACGGTTAGAACCCAAATTTTT